TGATTATGAAGTAGTGTGTTTCCATATGGCTTTTCCAACATCCTTGGTGTTAGTTATCCCTCCAGCCTCCTCTTCTTACTACTCCTCTCCTGAATCCCTCTCTTCATTAGTCTCCCTTTTTCCATCTATGGTTTTATGGTTTTATAAACTTTCAAGTCTCATAATTAAAAGTCATAAACTTCCTTAATATCCTTAATACCTGTATAAATTATACAGAAAAAGCTGGAAAAATGTGTTCATGTTTGGTTAGGTTCTCTGCATGCTGCTTTTCCTTTGTATCTAGAAAGAGCTGTGGAGCATTGCTTTACACGCTTTTGCAAGTGTTACTGTGGTGCTATGTAAAGCTAAACACAGTATGTCTGAATTTTACTCTCTTTAACCTAACAAAATGGCTATTTCATGTGGCTGGGTCTAAAATTAGCAATATGTATGCATGCATCTATACACACTTGTCTATACAGGAAAAAAATTACAAAAAACTACTCAAATAAAAATAAATTCAATCAGCACAAGATCTTGTTTACTTGAAATGTTTCCTGGAAAATTAACTTTATAAATTTCTCAAGAGAAAAAAAAATCAAGGCAGAGAAGGTAGAGCACTGGCTGGATTTACACTTTTTCCCTGTGCTCATTCTCACCTAAATCTTTATTAAAAACAAGAACTGATTGATATTATGAACATTTGACTATAAAATAGTGCATGTGTTTTCTTTTGTTTGTGTTGTTTCTGTTTGGATTGTTGGGAGTATTTTTCTTCCTCTGTTTGAGAATTAGTGATTTACAGCCTCGCACATGGATCATTACCCCATTTTTCCTGTAGTTATTCTTTCTTCATGTCAAATTTGTTATTTCCCATGTTCTCATGGGTTCCTCTGATTCTCCTGTGTATGTTTTCCCTCTTCTTTATTATCTGCCATGCTGCTGTAGCGAAGTGAATTGTGTTAATTCTTGACTATCTTAGAATTCACTTATGTTTTCATCAGTTTTAAGATAGAATTTTTATAGTTTTTAGGGTCTTTTATGTGTAAAACCACATCATCTGCAAATAAGGGTACTTGACCTCTTATTTACTATTGTGTCCCTTTGATCTCCTTCAGTTGTCTTAATACTCTAGCTAAGACTTTATGTGCTATGAATAGGTGAATAGGTATGGAGAAAGTGTACATTCTTGGACATCCTGATTTTAGTAGAAATGCTTTGAGTTTCTCTCCATTTAAGTTGATGTTAGCTGTGGGCTTGGTATAAATTGCCTTTATTGTGTTGAGGTCTTTCCCTTGTATCCCTAGTCCCTCCAGGACTTTTATCATGAAGAGGTGTTGGGTTTTCTTAAAGGCCTTTTCTGCATCTACTGAGATGATCTTGTGGTTTTTGTTTTTCAATATGCGTATGTACTGTATTATTTTTATTGATTTATATATGCCGAACTATCCCTGCATCTCTGGGATAAAGCCTATTTGATCATGGTGGACAATCTTTTTGATATGTTCTTGGATTCAGTTTGCAAATATTTTATTAAGAATTTTTGCATCCATGTTCATAGGGGGTATTGGTTTACAAGTTTTCTTTTTTGTCAAATCTTTCTGTGGTTTTTAGTATCAAAGCAATAGTGACTTTACAAAAATAATTAGGAAATGTTCTTCTAGTTTCTATTTTGCAGAATAATCTGAATACTATTGTCATTAATTCTTCCTTAAAGTCTAGTAGAATCTTTCACTGAATCCATCTGGGCTTTATTTAATTGGAAGATTTTAATTACTGCTTATATTTCACAAGGAGTCATAAGTCTGTTTAAATACATTATTTGATCTTGATTTAACTTTGGTAGGTTGTATACCTCAAGAATTTTGTCCAGGGCTGGAAAGATAGCTCAGATGTTAAGAGCACTGTCTGCTCTTCCAGAGGTCTTAATTTCAATTCCCAGCAACCACATGGTGACTCACAACACTGGGATCTGATGCCCTCTTCTGGCGTGCAGGTGGCATACATGCAAATAGAGCACACATATACATTAAATAGATAAAAAATGTTTTGTTTTGTTTTAAAGAACATCATATGTTTCTTTTAGATGTTCTAATTTGGTGGCATACCAATTTTTAGAGTCTATCCTCATGATTCTCCAGATTTCCTGAGTGTCTGTTGTAATGAACCCTTTCATCCCTGGTTTCATTAATATGGGTCTCTTGGTTAATTTGGCTAAATGTCTGTCAATCTTGTTGATTTTATCAGAGAACCACCTTTGTTTCCTTGATTCTTTTACTTGTTTGTTTCTATTTTATTGATTTTGACCCTGAGTCTGAATATATTGCCAGTCTACTCTTTTTAGTTGTTACTTCTTTTTGTTGTTCTAAAGCTTTCAAGTGTCCCATTAAGTTACTCATATGACATCGTTACCATTTTTTGATGTGCACATTTAGTGCTATGAACTTGCCTCACAGAAATGCCTTCATTGTGTGCCATAACTTTGGATATATTGTGTTTGTGCTTTCATCCAATTCTTAAAAGTTTTAAATTTCCTTCTTGATTACTGTCTTGATCCATTTTTCGTTCAGCAGTGAGTTGTTCTGTCTCTGTGAGTTTGTATACTTTATAATGTTTCTATTGTTGTTGATATTCATCTTTAATCTATGATGGTCAGATATGATGTATGATTTTATTTCAATTTTCATATCTATTGGGACTTGTTTCATGTCCTAATATGTGATCAAGGTAAGATGTTATTATAATGAGCCTGCCATGTGACTTGGTCTTTTTCCCTTGTAGCTTTTAACATCCTTTCTTTGTTCTGCACATGTAGTATTTTGATTGTTATATGTCATGCTGATTTCTTTTTAGTCCTGTTTTATATTCTGTAGCTTTCTTGTACTTTGATAGGCACCTACTTCTTTAGGTTGGAGAAATTTCTTCAGTGACTTTGTTTAAAAAAAAAAATGCTGTGTCTCTGCCCTGAGTTCTTCTCTTTCCTCTAACTCTCTTATTTGTAAATTTAGTCTTTTCACGGCGTCCCAGATTTCCAGATGTTTTGTGCCTGAATATTTTCAGGCTTAACATTTTTTTTAACTGAGCTGTCCATTTTTTTTCTGCCTTGTCATGAATGCCTCATATTCTGCCTTTCATATCCATGATACTTACCTCAGAGGTTTCAGTCTGACATCCTGAGCTCTTCACTTTCAGCTCTATTTCAGTTTGGGTTTTCTATAGGGATTCTGTTTCTTTGTCAAATTCTACTGTCATATTGTGATATGTTTTCGCTGTCTCAGTCAACTATTTGTGTTCTCACAGACTTCATTTTGACGTTTACCTCTTTAAGGTCCTTGGACATATACATAATTACGGTTTTGAAATGATTGTCTTGTGCTTCAGCTAAATTGCTTTCCTCTCAGCCTATTTCAGTAGGGTTGCTGGCTTCTGGAGGAAGCATATTTTCTTGGATGTTCATGTTTGATCTGAGATCTACACATCTGAAGTTATGATGTTTGACATGTTTCTTGGTGTAGATATCAGGTCTCATCTTTGTTGAGTGGGTCTTCTTTCTGAACTTTGGTTGCTATTGCCCCGTTTGGATTCTAGGCAAATGTGGTGGCTCTGTGTTGGTGGATGACACAAGGAATGGAAATGGGCTAGAAGGAAAGGCCAAGCGGGATAGTGGTGTAGAGTTAGGAAGATCCTTTGTCCACACCAAGAGGTGTGGTGTGGGGAGGGGAGGGGCTCATGCAGGCAGACTGCAGCAGGACTAAAAGTAAGTCTGAAGAGACAGCGCGAAGGTAAGAAGAGGTAGGAAGACCTGGGGTCTGTGCCAAGAGAACTCTGCCTCTTCTCATAAAGCCTCCAGGACTCCACTGTGGCAATTCTACCCTGATGACCTTATCTAATTCTAATCACCTTCCAAAGGCCCCCTCTTCAGGACACCATAGTAAGATTATTTCCATCTCTGCGTACCTGGCAAGTGAACTAAGGGACACACACCCACACTATACACCGCTTACTTAGCCAGACTAGTGTAACACTGGAGAGGGTGCTTTCAAAGCTAGGGGTGTGGTTACCACTTTCAAAAAGGTGCAAAAGATGGGCACTGGGGCTCGCCTTGATGACAAAGACCCATCTAGAATTATCCATCGAACTTTTCCTATGTGCTCTCGCTGGCCAGTGCTGCCAAGGCCTCAGCCATTTCCCCACAGGCCTTTCCAGGGCCTGTGCTCTTCCAGATGCCAGCTCCTCTGGCTCAGACCACCAGCCCCTACTCCACTCACATTCAGTGCAGGCCAGCAGGGTCACAGGATTTACACTCTCTGCCCACAATGTATGTCCATACATTTTTCAATGATAACCAGGTGGAGATGATGGAAATGGTGCATGCACAGCTCCTTCTGCCCCTAGATGATACTCCGGTGCAGATTATTCACTCTCTCCCCATAGTTCCAAAGCTCCACAGGACATTCCCATTGGCTGGAACCTGCCTTTCATTCCCCCAGATAATTCCCTCTACCTGTAGGTATTTTGTGGGATACCCCTCTCCCTGGAATTCTTTTGGCAGGAGGGGAGTGAGAGGAGGATAAAGTCTAGGGCCTCATGCATGCTAAGAAGGTGTTCAACCACTAAGCTTGCTTACTCAACCCAGTCCTTGTTTATTAATTTATTTTGTTGAGAAAGCTATAAGGTTGGGCTGGCCTTGAAGTCACTCTTAGCCCAGGTTGGCCTTGAACTCACAATCTTGTTGCCTCTGCCTCCTGAGAAGAAAGGATTGTGTCACCAAGCTCATCTTCCTCTCAAATTTTTATTTTAAGTTCACTTCAAGTAGAAGGCTGTTTGTTTGTTTGTTTGTTTGCTTGCTTGTTTGTTGAGACAAGGTTTCTCTGTGTATAGCCCTGGCTGTCTTGGAATCACTCTTTAGAGCAGGTTGGCCTCAAACTCACATATATCCGCCTGCCTCTGCCTTCCAAGTGCTGAGATTAAAGGCATGCGCCACCACCTCCCAGCTCCAATAAATTATTCTTACACATATGTAAAAATTAGATGTGTCCAATTTATTAATTCAGCACTGTTCATAATAGCGAGAAGTTGGAAATTATCTATAGGAGACTGGTCAGATACATTCCAATCACAGGGGAGTACTCTGAGCTACTTTATATCTTGTATAAAATTATTTGAGCATATTAATAAAAACACAAAATGCATAATCATAATACAAGTGTGTTACCACTTGTTTAAAACAGTTGTCTGTGTGTCTGTGTGTGTGTATAAAGATACATACGATCTTTCTGAAGTAGATTCTAAACACATAGCCTTGACTATTCGTAAGGAGAGACCCCAACAGCTGGGAATGGAGTCTTTTCACTGTACACTATTTGACTTGGTTTGGTTTGGTTTTGCTTTGCCTTGGTTTTCAGTGTCGAATGCTAAGCCCAGACTTTGCATACACTAGACAAGTACTCTGCTATAAGCTGCATTCCTCTGCCTTTTACCATTCTTAGGTGTCTTTTGATCTTTGTACTATGTACAGGTTAATCAATGCAAATATTTAAATTAATGTTAAAATAATAAATGACTAGCTGGTGGGAGGTGTCTCTTTCTTCATTGGACATCTTTGTGAGTCCCCCAGTTCTGTATCCCATGTCCAGTTTCTCTTGGATTCTCAGTACCTGAACCCTTGCAAGAATGCAGCTCACCCATGCAAGGAATATTACTTTCTTCAGAGAGGACAGCCATAGCATTTCACTATGCTTAGCCACAAGGATCCCATCACCTTGCCCAGAGAAGGGCCCATTAGCCTCTGCCCTCACGTACTAGGAAACCCAAGAGATTCCTTTCCTTTCAAGAAGATGCATTCAATACATTGCCCACATGCCCACATTAGCCACACACAATTCACACACACACACACACACACACACACACACGTGCACATGGAAATCCCAAACTATTTTTGTATAAGACATTATGGCAACAGTCTCCTAAAGGACACATCTGTCTATCGGCCTCAGGACCTGGGGGTTGGTCTGGCCCTCTAGACATGCTTGTTGTTGGAGAGGTCACTCCATGGAGAAAAGGCCATTACTCAGGTGGGGCATCTTGGGGAGCAGCTTCATTCATCATGTCCTTGTATTGCCGTTTGAAAAAGCCAAGCTGTCAGGGTAAAGACACAGAGTGAGGCTGCAGAATCCATGGCTGCGGGTCAAGACCAGACAGAATAGGAGAGAGACAGACAGACAGATAACATGACCAGGCAGGACAAAGATTGACAGGGCAGAAAATAGAAAGGACCCGGGGAAAGTCAGGCAGATAGACTGCATCAGTGCTGAGTCTAGGAAAGAAATACAAACTAAGAAAGCGCCCTTCTTCCATAGTGTCATTGCAAACCACGGGGCCATCCTTGTTGCTCTGCAGGTATCAATTTAGTTTCCTTTGTAAAGTGGGTGTCAGTAATATTTATCATATAGTTAGCAGCAATACTGAGTCAAACCCAGTCATGAAGGTGCTGAGAAGAGAGGAGAGGGGGTCAGAAAGAAGAGGAATCAAGGAGCACCTTATACAGGCCAGCAGTGATGAGGGCCAGGAGCACCAGCCCCCCAATGGAGCTGCCCACAATGAGTGGCACAGGGTTGTAAACTTCATACGGCTCCACTTTGGTCTCCATCTAGGGAAGAGAGAAGATAAACAGGGCACAGCAGAAGAGATCACCACAGACTTCCGGAGAGTTCCCCGGGCTCGAGGGCTAACCGCTCCCTCTAATCCACACCACCAGCCACTGGGCCCCCTTCTCTTCCCACCTGCTTGTCTTGCCAACCCAGAGATGAGATCCATCATCCCAGCTCCTCCCTCCAACAGCTCCATCCCCACCCAACCCACCTCACCCTACCCCACCCTATCCCACCCTACCCCACCCCACCCCACCCCACCCCTATCTGAGATAAGTACCTGAGACTTCACAAGCATCTCCTGCCCTGGAAGCAGGACAAATGCAGAGTTGTTAAACGTGACCTCAGCAGTGCTCACCAGCAGGAGGTGGTTATGAGAAGTCTGTGGGGAAGAGCAGAGTGGGAACCAAGCCTGTGCTCTGGACCATTATGGCTATACCCAGAGAGTCTCAGAACATAGCATACCTTGATGTACCAGTCAAAAGACAGTCTGCCCTTGAGGGTGACATTGAATGTTTTGTGAGCATTGAAGGATGGGAGGTCACACTGGATTCTCTTACAAACCGCAACAGAGCAGTTCTGGAAGAGGAAGACCAAAGAAACAGATGACTAAGACTTGAGCAGACCATGATGACCTTGTACGTGCCTTCAGGGTGGAGGCAGCCACGTTCTTACCACCACTGGGGTCTTTTCAAGCTCATCCTGGAACTTAGAGTGAGAGGGGGATCTCTGCTCAGTGTGACAGGCACTTGAAAGGTTCTGAGGAAAGAGACACCAAGAAGAGAGAGAAATGAGGGCTCTGGTCCCGCCCAGGGATCAGTCAAAGGGAGAATCAGAAGAGGCAAGAAATAGATCTTAAGAAAGACCTGAGCTTTGGGGACCCAGCTGGACTCACCTGGGAGAAGATGACCTGGGGATGATCCCATACAGTCACGTTGCTAAGCTCAACAGGGATCCAGAAGACCACACTGATGGGGAGGCTCCTCCGGCCCAGGTTGCTGAACTACAGCAGAAAGGAGGGAGGGAGGGGCTAGCCTTGTGGTCCAGCTAGGTCAGAACTGGCTCATTTCCTGCAACCCAGGACCACTGAATAAGACCTAAGCATCCTGCTCTCAGGGAGATGAGAGAGTGCAAACAGACACCAACCACACATTTGAGCCAGACTGGCTCATCCTAAGTTCTAGCTCTGCCATCTGCCAGTTGTGAGAATTTAGACATAGTTCATGAGTCTCGCTGACCTTCAGTTTCTCCATCTGTATGCAAGGGACAGCAAGAGTGTTCAGGGTCCTAAGAGAGGGCACATGCGTGCCCACCTGTGTGTGTATCTGTGGGTGAATGCGCGCATGTCTGTGAGTATGTACATACGTGTGCATCTATGTGTGTTTGTGAGAGAGTACACATATGGTTTGAGTGTGTATGTGTGCATGTATTGTGTGTGTTTGTGCATCTGTGTGTGTTTGTGTGTGAGAGAGAGTGCATATGTGTGCATGTATGTATGTGAGTGCATGCATGTATGTGTGTCAGTGTGTGTATACATACGTGAGGGGATGTAGAGCACACATGGAACAATGTCTGAGGTGGCATACAGGAATCACAGTGTTCAGGCTTCCTACACCTGCCTTTTGCCCTCTCTTTGCATCAGTTTCCCTTCCCAGCATCCTCTGAGGACCCAGGCCTCCCTGCCCCTCACCTGGTACTGATGCTCTATGAGCTGACTGCTCATCTCTGAAGCTGTGAAGCTGACATATTTTGTAGAATTCTTATCACTAAAAGAAGAAAAGAGGAGGCAACAGGTGACAGAAGATAGAATATGAAGGTGTCCTGAGAAGGGGCTTGGACTGAATATGCAGAGAACAGGAAGATGGCAAGGCAGCCCTTGAGAGCAATGTCTGTCAGACTCTGGGTGCGTGGGTTTGGGCACACACGCACACACACACACACACACACACACACACACACACACGCCCATCCTCCACACAGGCAAGTGTAAAAACACACAACAAAGGGCGGCAGCTCAGGATCACACACAAAGCTGGCTTGTCCAGCCTGACGGGGCAGCACCTGGTCACAACCATGTAGACAGCATATTTCACAGGCAGCTCCAGTTGAGACTCAGTCTTGTGGCTCCTGGACATGTTGTTCTCACTGAAAGAAAAGCAGGTCCTTAACCAGCTCTCAGAGCTGAGAATCAGCCTTCCATCTCCCCTTCCCTCACCCACTGCCTCCAATCTTTCTCCATGTCTGTTGTCCCCATGGTTCTGTCCATCTCATGGAGGCCAGAAAACAGTGTACGGGAGCTGGTTTGCTCCTTCCACCAGGAACTGAACTTGGGTCAGCAGGCTTGGCAGCCTTCCCCAATAAGCTATCTCAGCAGATTCTATGTCTTTATTCTCTGCTATGGTTGTGGGCGGTGGTGGGTTCAGGTACACCGCAGCCCATCTGGTCCAGGGATGGAACACAGCTCCAGACTTCACCCATCTCACAACCCTTAAGCTTAAGCTGGTCTGAAGCATGCTCAGATTCCTCCAAGCCCTAGGTTTGTCTGCTGCGTGCTTCTTTCCATCTTTATACCTTTGCTTGACCTAGTCCCAACCTAAACACGATTTCTTCAGGGATCTTCTCGGACATGGGCATCCCTGCCGCTGCTACCACTTGAGCATGTCTGTCATACTGTACTGTAATCACCAGTTTCTCTGCCTGTCTGTGCCACTGAAGGTCTGTGAGGGAGGGCTGTCTTGTTCATTACCATCCCCAACCAGCTCTTGACACAAGGCCTGGCACATAGGTGGGTGCTCAAGCAGTGTTTGTGGAATAAATTATTAGTCATCAAAACAGAGGAGAAGGAAAGAGAAGAAAGGTTCATCCTGGATGAGGGGCTGAGCCTCAGGGGGATGGATGACTGCAGTATGTGGCAACAGGTACCTGGTGACATTAGTCTTGAGGAGCAGTTTGTTCCCAAGGGAAGCATCAGAGTCCACGTAAAATGTGACATTAAAGGTGACCTGACATTGGAAAATGGAGACAGTGATTAAAAAGAGTGAAGAACCACTGAATGGCGTAAGTAAGGCATGATCTGCCTACGCAATAGAACACTGTTCAGAAATAAAAAGAGAAGAACTGACAGCTTAGTGATTCTTGAAAACGTGAGAGTTGTTGAAAGAAGCCAATCCCAGAAGACCACATACTGTATGTGCCTAGGATAGGAGATATCCAGGAGAGGTGACTCATGCAGAGAAGGTCCATTAGGAGCTCCCAGGGGCTCTTAGCAAGGTCCCAGATTGGTCAGAGTGTTGGATGCATAACTGAGAATGCTCAAAAGCCACTGAATCGTACACAATGGGTGAGTTTATGGAATGTTTTACACCTCATTAAAAGCTCGCTTGTAGAATGGACCCGCTTCTTTGTTAGGACAAGGAGGAGAAGTGAGAAGAAGAGGAAAAGACTCCTCTGACAAAAGGACAGCAGAGGCTGGAGCTCTGACCTTGGAATTAGCAGGAAATAAGGGCTTGTTTATGTCCCAGGTGGTACTCTTCAGAGGCCCATTTCCTTCAGTGGAAGAGCTGGGCTCAGATATGTTCACAAACCAAGACTTCTGGGAGAGCTGGTCCTGGAACCACAGCAGGCAAATAGGGCACTGTCAACTACCGGCCACGGATGTGAGAAAAGCAGAGGCGGGGGACTGAAAAGGACTTGGCTACCTTGCTCACTGACACCTTCCGGTAAGACAAGCCAGATGGGTAGTAGATGGTAGCCTGGGTACTGTAGGAGTCCTCACCGTCGTTTCTCACAGTCACCCTCACATTTAAGCCCTGGGGATCTCCCACCACCAAAGCATCGAGGCTATGGGAATAGCAAAATAAGACAGACCATGATGTATCAAGGGCGTCCCTGAAGCAATTCTGTTTTGATGGAGAGAGGCCCTTGAAGAGACAGGGCCATGAACAGGGCAGGCACTAGGCACCTTGTGCCACACAAATCTCTCTGAAGAATCCTGGGATCCATCAGACACCAAGACATTCACCTGATGCAGGTCTGAGGGAATCAGTAGCAGAAACTCACCCCATGGAACTCATGGTGACGCTGAGATCATCCTGGCATATGCTGTCATTGCCACAGTTCTTCTCAAAGGGAAACTAGAAAAAGAATATGATTGAAAGGAAATAATTAAACGGAGTAATAAAATAAAATGTTTAAAAGAATTGACATAAGATAGAAATGTTTTATCAAGCTCCCCTACTCCTGCAAGGCCCCAACTCCGAGACTCACCAGAGCTGTGAAGGACCTCTGGGCACCCTCATCCAGAATTGGCCGGAGGTCCCTAGAGGAGCGCAGTGGCTCCCCAACCAATGTATAATTGAGGCGCAGCATGATGGGACTCAATGAATCGTACACACAGCCCTAAGAGACAGTAGGGATTTGGGGAAATGCCTTCTTCAGCTTCCATGGCCAACCCCATCCTTAGCCAAGAGATCTGCCGTTTGCCTGCTCACCGGTAAATATAGCTTCAGGGTTTCACATTTCTGTGCCAATCCGAAGGTCTGGCTGCGCCTATATGTGTTGTTCTTTGTCGCATCAAAAAAGGCACGGACTTTTGTGCGGTCAGAGTCCAAAGCCAAGTCATAAGTAACACTGCTCTTGATATCCCCTGAAAGGAAATGGAACACTGGGAGGAGCCAGGCAGACAGAGATCTGTGGCCACCACTCTGCTCCAAGATGTGGGGTTATCCACAAATCATCTGACCTCTCTGCATCTTAGTTCATTACTTACAAAGTAAGAATAAGAATAATTACTCTTTATAATTATAAATACTATAATTATGGCTCATTTTCTTCATTAAGAAAAATGAAAAAAATGAGGTATTGACCACTAAGTAAGCCCTCAAGAGGCTGTGGCTATTCTGTTAGATATTAGAAAGCTAATTATGGTTTTCTTCAAAGTTTGTTGTTGTTGTTTATTTTCTCCTTTGTCTTTGTCACTTGCCAGTTTGGCCCTGGTGTGCTGATATGGGCTTCCCCAGATTAGGAGTAAGTGACTTGACAAGAATTTCTACATAGATTTCACAATACCTTCTCCCTACTGTTCTCTAGCCTCCAAAACATTTCTATTTCTAGCCACTCTGGGTCTTTTGACCTCTGGACCAGTAAGAATGAAGCTAGAAAAATATCTTTCCTCCTCTTCCTCTTTCTCTCTAGGTCAGCAATTCTTTTTCTCCCATCAAAGCAGGGACAGGGAAGGGAGTCAGACCACTGCAACAAAAACAGTGTTTAACTTGATCGATTCAGTCTCTCAGATCAGGTCTGTCTCATTTGAAAATGAACCTGTTTGAAGGCGTATGAGACTGGAAAAAACTGTATTAAGTGAGCTAATGCAGACTCACAATGATAAATGCCAAATGCTCTGTATGAACCCTATGAACCCTAGCTTCTAATTTCTAATGGGATCTCACTACTGATGAGAATGAATGTGTATAGAGGACAAAAAATTACAGAGGGAGCATGAGAGAATAAAGAAGGCATTAAGAGAGAGGAGTGAGGAGGGTAATGGAACCTACGTGACATAAAGAGCAGAGAGAAGGCTGGAGGATGTGAGGGCTTAAGTAGGGAGTGATTAGAAACAGAGAGATGGGGAGCAACCAAAAATAGTATTTATGAAAATGCTAACAAAACAGTTAATATTGTAAGCTAATCAATTTTTTTAAAACCTATGTTGGTCTTATGTTGAGGTTCTTTCTATTTGGTGTTGAGTTTTGTACATGGTCAGTAATATGAATCCATTTCCATTCTTCTACCTGTAGCAATCTGGTTGGCCAGCACCATTTGTTGAAGATGCTATCTTTTCTCCAATGTGCATTTTTTTTGCTTCTTTGTTTGAAAAAAAAAAAAAACTGTGTGAATGTGGGTTTCTACATGTGTCTTCATTTCTAGCCCACTAACCAATATGTCCGTTTTTATGCCATTTGTATTACTATGACTCTACAGTGTGGTTTGAAATTTGGGATAATGATGACTACAAGAAAACAGTGTTTCTTCAGTTACAATAAGGCAGTTGATAAATGAACTCACAGAGATGTGACAAGATGATCACACAAGCTGAGGCCAGATAAAATGCCAGTGAAAAGAAGCTAGCAGGAAGTCCCACCCTTACTTTCTTTGAGAGTGTGACACCTTAGTAGGTAACCCACGTCTAGGGGGTGACCCATTTCCCAAGGGCAACAGAAATTAAAGTCATGCTTTTGGGGAGTTTTGTTTGGTTGGTTTTTTGAGACAGGGTTTCTCTGTATAATCACCCTGGCTGTCCTGAACTCCGATTTGTAAACCCGGCTGGTCTGGAACTCACTGTGAAAGAACCTTCCAGATACAGCATGGTCATTGCAATCACGAATGTACATCAGCTATGCTTGCCTACACAAGACCCACACAGCATTCTGTCATGGATGGGAGAGGAGCTCATAGGATTCCTCTCCTCCTTGGGTTGCTAGTGACAGTTCCCAGGGAATGGTAGTCATTTTCCTCAGTGATGTAGCCATTGCTAGAGTTAGTGGGTTGCAAAACATTGTGTGTGTGTGTGTGTGTGTGTGTGTGTGTGTGTGTGTGTAGGTGTATAGGTGTGTGTGTGTGTGTGTGTGTGTAATATGAACCATGGCACAAGGACTAGTTGTAAAATAAGGAAAGTAAAGGGACAAGTGACAGTAGTGCAGGTGAATCTAACCAAAATACATTGTCTACATGTATGAAATTGTAAAAAGACCACACTGTGGAGAGAGGAAGAGAGAGGGAGAGGGGACGGGAAAGAAAGAAAAAGAGAGGGAGAGGAAGAAGGAGAGGGAGAGAGGAAGGGGACAGGGAGAGGGGGAGCCTAGTTTGCTTACATATACAGGGGTCCTGGTTCTCTGGACAAGGGACACAATGCAGAAGTGTCCTCAGTGAATTACCAGAGAAGTGACCCTTCTGGTAAGGTTTGCTGGGCTGCCTCACTCATTCTAGCCAGGCCTTAAAGGTCTGTCAGCGCCTGCCCGAACTTTCTTCTGCCAGGAGACTGGGCAGACCGACATGAGACACTGTCCTGTAAAGCCAGAGGTTTGCCCAGCACATCTCACCTTCTTGCAGACGATCCCTGGTGGTCTTGCGGACGCGGAGGCAGACTCTGACCTCCCCAGCATCCTTGTTTGTAGATATTTGTTCTTGACACGCAATCAAGCTCCTTGCTATACTCTTGGGACTGAACTCCATGGTTGCCTCAAGTCTCACCACGGGCTGGGCTCTAGAGGGACCCCAGAAAGCCATCAGGAAGAGGAAGGACGCTCCAAAGGGGAAGGGCTGGCGATACGAGAGCGCTTCTCACCTGAGCAGCAGGAGGTGCCCCTGGGCACCCACAGCCAGGTCTTTCAGGCCGTCCATTGTGAGATCTTTGCCCCCACTCAGAGACTGCCCGAAGTACTGGAGCCCAGGGGAGACGCGGGCACCTGCGATCCGCTGTGGGTAGGGAAGAAGCGAGAAAGTACGGAAGTGTCTGACTCAGTCACCCGAGGCAGAGACTGTCTTCTTTACAGCCCATCCTTCTGAAGGACTTCAGATGACTTAAGACTTATCACATGCACACAGCGGTTTTCCCGTGCAGTCCTGAAATTCCATACTCAGGCTCTAGCCAATATCGTGTATAGAGGAGTTTGGTTTGGGCCAGCTAATAAACACTCTGCATATATTTTTAAATACACAAATAATTACAATGTACACCCAGGTTAAGGACCACAATTCTAAATATAAGGGAAAATATTTTTATATAATTTGAAGTAATTGAGCAATAATACCACATTTTTATTTTTATTTTGGAAATCAGAAGGCAGCTGGAATAGAAAACAGCGACCCTACAATTCCGGCTGTGTAGCTTTCTATATTTAAATAGAGAAAACAGTATTTGTCACCTAAAAACAAAACAAAAAAACTCACTAACGAACTGTTTAAGTCATGATCTCCAACAATACCCAAAGTTTTCCTGGATAATCTGAGTTTCCTAAAGAATGCTGAAAGTTGCTTGTTTGTTTTTTGGGGGGTTTTCGTTTGTTTGTTTTTTTGTTTGTTTGATTGTTTTTTAGAGGGAAAGAGAGAGTTTCTCTGTGTAGCCTTGGCTGTTATGGACTTGATTTATAGACCACAGAGATCTGCTTGCCTCAGCTTCCCAGAGTGCTGGGATTACAGACGTGAGCCCAGTTTAGGAAGCTGAAAGTTTTATAGGAAAGAAATAAAAATGTACTGTTTGGCCCATCTGGGTCTCATTTATATAGTCAGAAAAATGCAAATGCTGAGTACTTTTTACTACATTTTCCTTCCTTGAGGTGAGGGGTTCCCACACCACAGTGCTCGCGTGGAGGTCAGAGGACAACATTCAGGAACTGGTTCTCTCCTTCCATCACGTGGGGTCCCGAAGAGTAAATCAGACCGTGACACCTGTTTATCTAGTCACATGCGTGTGTGTGTGTGTGTGTGTGTGTGTGTGCCACAGTGCATGTGTAGAGATGAAAGGGTGATTGGAAGAAGTTGCTTCTCTCTGGCCACCTTGTGGGTTCTGGAGACTGAACTCAGTCTGTCAGCACTTTTTCCTGCCCCGCCATCTTACCAGCATGTGTTTGATGTCAAAGTCTAGCTCTGTTTATTCATACCAAAAAAATCCATTATTCCAGAGAGACCTGTATGTCAGCGAAACACACATCTTTAATAAGAAGAAAAGGGCGGCCAGGCATGGTGGCATATGCCTTTAATTCCAGCACTCTGGAGGTAGAGGAAGCAGACCTGAGTTCAAAACCAGCCTGGTTTACAGAGTGAGTTCCAGGATAGCCAGGGCTACCCAGAGAAACCTTGCCTCCAAAACATTAAGAAATAAAATTTAAAAAGAGGAAGAAGAAACGTCGATGTGTCAGCTGCCAGTGGCCCAGCAGGGCAAGTACTGTAACAGTGAGTCATGTTCCCGGTACCTCCTGTATTTGCTGAAAAGACATTTGCTTTGAAATGACCTATAACGTGGCTGGTATTCCTGGCTTACTGGCTGTTCCACTAATCATCTTTAGTTTCAGTCATATGAGAAAAAATATAAACCGCAATAAAAGCAAACAAGCACGATCCATTTCATATTTCCTTTTAAGCACAAGCTGTGGGCGAGCACGCGCGTGCACACATAAAGTACACTTCCTTCAGTTTTCACCAGGCATGCGCATCCCCAAGAGGCTCCCTAGGCTAAAGCACACACCGGCAGCGTTTAGTGGACTCCGTAGGGTTTGGCGTGGAGAGAGGGCTCAGTGGTTAAAAAAGCACTGGCTCCTCCTCCAGAGGAGCCACTGCTCAGTCAGCTGTAACTCCAATTCCAGGGGATCCCATGCCCTCTTCTGGCCTCCTCCGGAGTTAAGCACATTGGTGCACAGACACACATGCAGGCAAAACACTCAGAGTCATAAGATATTTTTAAAAATTTAAATGAGCATATGAAGCTGGGAGGGAAAGTGGAACAGGAGTTGGAAGGGAGGAATGAGCATAGATTTTTATCAAACACATTATATGCATGCATGAAATTCTGAAAAATAAAATTGATTTTTAAATACTCTCTCCTTGACCTTGTTTTCCTCTGAAGTGTGAGGTATGGTGGCAATGGAGAGAGAAGACCAGGGCTTCCACTGTTTGTTTTACATAAAAATTTACTTAACAGACATGTAGAACCTCTGTAATAAAAACGAAATTAAAACCAAAACCTTCAAACCCATTTACACAGAGAAAAACAAGTGCCCCAATGAAAGAGAGCAATATGTACCAATATGTGTCAACTGGGGAGTGCCCCATGGAAGCCACGTGTGTAGAGTCTGTGGCTTGGACTCCAGCCCAAGGAATGAGCAAAACTGAGAAAAAAGTAGAAGATACAAATTGTCTGGGGAGGGGATGCTCTATAATGTTTGGGGGCCTTTGGGGTTGGGGTTAAGGTTTGGAGGGACTGTAGAAAGGTCTGGATATAAAGCTCAGGCTGACCTTGAACTTGCTGTATAGCCCAAGAGGGACTTACATATGACCTCTTCCTGCCTCCGCCTCCTGCGTCCTGGCACTACTGGTGTGCTCTACCACATTAACCACACGAGTTATATTCATCGAGACTCACCGAATAAATATTTATGCATTTTCTCTTTATGTCTTTAGTTAATAACCGACACGTCCAAGTATTACACACAAAGGGAGCTGATGGTGCAACTTAACTTAAAATGCATCAGAAAGAAAGAAAGGTCTGGGTATGGAAACACACAGCTGTAACTGTAGCATGGGGAGGCTCCAGCAGAAGGACCACGAGTTGAGGCCAGCCTAGACACAAAGCGAGACCTCGTCTCAAAATAAATAAGGAAATGGAAAGGCAAGAGAGAAAGGCTGTGTAAAAAAACCCACTTGGCACTGTGAGACTCTGAGTCTGGGTCTCTAGCACCATGTAAAAAGTAGGTATGTATGCTTTAGCATGAACCCTTGGGGCTTGCTGGCCAGCCAGGGTAGCCAAAATGGTGAGACCCAGGTCATTTGAGGGGATAAATGGAAATGAAGATGACCATGCTAAGTAAAATAGCGCAAGCCCAGAAGAACAAGGTCTGAGGGCTGGAGAGATGGCTCAGAGGTTAAGAGCACTGGCTGTTCTTCCTAAAGGTCCTGAGTTCAATTCCCAGAAACCACACAGTGGCTCACAACCATCTACAACGAGACCTGGTTCTCTCTTCTGGCATGCAGGCAGAATACTGTATAAATAATATTTAAAAAAAAAAAAAGACAAACTTTGCATGTTTTCTCTCATATACAGTGCTAATGATGAACTAAGAGGACTGTCACATGATCCAGAATTCCCACTTCTCAATTGTATTCAAAAGAATCAGAATAAGAATCTTGAAGGAGGGGCTGGAGAGATGGCTCAGTGGTTAAGAGCACTGTCTGCTCTTCCAAAGGTCATGAGTTCAATTCCCAGCAACCACATGGTGGCTCACAACCATCTATAATGTGAACTGATTCCCTCTTCTGGCAGGTATAAATGCAGATAGAACACTCAAATACATAAAATAAATAAATCTTAAAAAAAATTAAAAAAAAAATCTTGAAGGAATATTAGCAAACCCACATTATTTTGCCACACTGTCCTGGCTGGGTTTGTATGTCTACTTGACACAAGGAAGGAGCCTCAGTAGAGGAAATGGCTCCATGAGATCCAGCTGTAAGGCATTTTCTCAATTAGTGATTAATGGGAGAGAGCCCAGCCCATGGTGGGCAGGTTCATCCCTAGGCTAGTGGTCCTGGGTTATATAAGAAAACAGGCTGAGCAAGCCATGGGAAGCAAGACCATGGGAAGCACGGGTAGCATATCTCCATGGCCTCTGCATCAGTGCCTGCCTTCAGGTTCCAGGCCTGCTTGAGTTCCTGTTCTGACTTTCTCCAATGATCTGGATATGTAAGCTGAATAAACCCTTTCCTCCCCAACCTGCTTTTTAGTCATGGTGTTTTGTCATAGTAACAGAAACCCTGACTAACACACACACAATTCACAAGAGAAATGGAATAACCTTCATGTGCAATGACTAATAACAAGTCACCCCAGCAGGGCATTTTCTATAGTGGAAAATACAATATTCACCCCTTATTTAAAAAAAAAAAAAAGATACCAATAGGAATGAAACTAGAAGATGTTATTCTACATAAAAGAAGCCAGACAGACACAAAAGGCCAAATCATTCCATGCATGGAGGTGTCTAAAATAATCAAACCATACAAGCAAAGCAGAGTATAGCACTCTCTGGGGGCACAAGGAGGAGGCAAAATGGAGGATTGCCAACCAATGCCCAGAAGCAGCTAAAGCAGGTCATGTGTGAGAGAGTTCTTTTCAAGTCTGGTCAAGGAGAACACAAGTATTTAAGCATTTTTACCATAATACATTTTTTAATAAAGGAAAACATGAGACTGGAAAAAGACTAGAGACCAGGAGACCACACGGCCTCAGCTCACTCTAGTGGGAGAAAACACAGCAGGGGTGAGGTGGGCCAACGCTGCAAGGAGCCCCAGTCAGGGGCTCCATGTGGCAGTGACAGAGTCACTGAAGGGGACCAGTTCTGGGGCCAGGATTCAGGATGACTCGTCATCAGTGCGAGCTACTTCATTTCAAGACCCAGTAGAAAAGAAAGACGCTGGGTTCCCCTGTTCCAAACTGTCAGTAGCCAAGCATGGCAGCTCTCAACTGCAGTCCCCACAACCATTTGAGGGCTAGAAATAATGGCTCAGCACTTAGAAGCACTCACTGCTCTTGCAGAGGACCTGGGTTTGATTCCTGGCACCCACATCAGGCAGCTCGCAACTGCCTGTAATACCAGGTCCAGGGGATCCACTGCCCCCTGAGCTCTTCGGGCACTTGCAGGCATGTGGTTCACATAAACTCATGCAGGCAGACATGCATCCACATAAATAAAAACAACAAATCTTTAAAATAAAATTCAATTTTAAGACTATCCCAAATATCAAGAAGGGGGCCAGGCATAGTGGCGCATGCCTCTAATCCTAGCACTTTGGGGGCTAAAGCATGAGGATCTTTATGAGTTTGAGGACAGCCTGCTCTGCACAGTACATTTCAACTCAGCCAGAGCTACACAGTGAGACCCTTTTCTCAAAAATGGGGGAAGAGGGCCGAATGAGGTGGAGAAATGATTGAAAAGAGAATCCCACCATCAGTCTCTGACCTCCACATCAACCCCATGGCACACACATGCACATATGCATGCAATTCACACAGACTGTTTGGGGAGGTTGGTGAGACAGGGTTTTTCTTTTTGTGTAACCCTGGCTGGCCTGCACTCACTCTGTAAACCAAGCTGGCCTTGAACTCACAGAGGTCTGCCTGCCTCTACCTCCCTTAGCGCTGGGATTAAAGGCGTGTGCCACCACCACCTGGCTCTCACACTGTCTTTTAATGTAGCAACAACAACTAAGAAATTCTGAGGTCTTGTAAAAAGCCCGAGGATCGGTGGGGTCCTATAAAGTGCCCAATGTTATGAATTTCCTGTGACACGTAGGATTTTCAGTACTAAAATTGGCACAGATCTGGGGAGAACAGAATTCTTGTTCACTCAGCCAGAACTGAGATTGCGGAGGAAGGAGCAGCTCTCTGTGTAGCACTTAGCACACATGTCTTCCTCCGGTCTGACTGCAGGTCAGGAGCCAGGGCTCAGCAGGTAGCATGCTCACACCTGCAAGCTTGTCACCCACAGCCCCAGGCCTGACTGCAAAGCTGAGTAAGGCTGCCCTCCGTGACAGAGAATTCCTCTAGACGGGGGATTCCCTGTCATCAGTGAGGGGCGTGTTACTGTTTGGAAGGTTCTGGAAGGAGTGAAGAAAAACTGATCCGGCAGTTAAATCAGAGGCTCTGAAATCACAGTTCAGTGCTGCGCAAGGTCGGCGGCGGGGTCTTACCTGGCTGTGAGAGGCACTGAGGCTGACTGCCGATGCTCCGTGAAATATGTAGACAGCACCCTGATTCTCCTGCTCTCCCGGGGCCCCGATGGCCACGTCTGTCAGCTTGTCCCCATTCACGTCCCCCAGCACTGTCAGAGCTGCCCCAAAGCGACCCCAGGGATGGCCCTGTTCACCATGGAGAGTAGCCTCACACTGCCACTGTGCTCTCTGCCAAACAAAAGCAATGGCAGACCCAAATCCCTGGCAACCCTCCACCTCCCACCCTGCCCCACACGGCCCATCACTCACCCCCCTCGGCAAGGGACACACTGACACCTGGCCTCCTCGGTTCTGCTCATAATAATGAGGGGCCCCAACGAGGATCAAGTTGGTATTGTCATCACCGTCCGTGTCCACAGCACAGAGGGAGGCCCCAAAGTAAGAGCCAATCTGAAAGAGACAGGGCAGAGATCACATATCTCTTTCCACCTAAGAAGAGTCTGAAGGTTTCTGCTCTATTAAGAAGTCCACGCACAGACATGGTGGTGCATACCAGCCCTTAGAAGACAGAGGCAGGAGGATCAGGAGTTCAAGGACTGCATAGGGATATACCATATGACCTGTCTGAAAGGAAGAGGGAGGAGAATGAGATCATGACTACTGGGGAAAAAACTTTAGGAAAAGATAAGGTTTTCTAAATGACTTGTGATGGTTTGAATAAGAAAGCCCTCCACAGGCTCATATATTTGAATACTTAGTCACCAGGGAATGGGGCTCTTTGATAGGATTAGGAGGTGTGGCCTTGTTGGAGAAAGGCTTTGAGGAAGGTGGGTTTTGAGGTGTTCTCCCCCCTCCCCAAGATAGAGTTTCTCTGTGTGAACAGCCCTGGCTATCCTGGAACTTGCTTTGTAGACCAGGCTGGCCTCAAACTCACAGAGATCCGCCTGCCTCTGCTTCTTGGGATTAAAGGTGTGTGCCACCATGTCCAGCAGGTTTTGAGGCTTTCAAAAGCCCACACCTAGCCCAGTGTTTTGCTCTTTCTCAGAATGTAGCTCTCAGCTACTGCTCCAGTGACATGCATGCCACTATGTTCCCTGTCGTGATGCTAAGGAACTAAACCTCTGAAACTATAGGCAACAACCAGTTAAATGCTTTCTTTTTAAGAGTTGCCTTGGTTTGGGCATCTCTTCACAGCAACAGAATGATTCATGATACATTTTGATAAAGAGCTAAGGAAAGAGAGAGAGAGAAAAATGGGGAAGAGAGAGAAAGAAAGAGTGTGCGTGTTAAAGATGAAATCTAGTACTTCATACAGGCTAGACAACTGGTCTACCATTGAACTATATCCCTAGCTCAAGCAACTGAATTTGCTGCTAGCAAGAGAAGTATATTATAAAGTCAGTAGATGTAGCTTTTTCATGTGGGTTCTGGGCATCAAATTCATTTCTTAATTATCTCCCCAGGCCATCCACAGATATGGAATTATTTCAGTATTTTAATACCTAATGTTGCTATGGTGGTTACATCTTGGCTGAATGCCAGCTCCAGAATCAGGTAGTCATAGAAAGCTCTATACAGGTCAAATATTAACTAGTCATTGCTGGAAATGCTGAGGCTAGGGCGGGAATATATAGGCCAGTGGTAAATCACTCACCTGACATGCATGAGGCCCTGGGTCCAAACCCCAGTGCCACAACAAAAGAAAGAAAAGCCAAAGACATAACCTTCCCCCCAGGCAAAGTTGACTTGGGACTCTAACATAAGCCCTCCAAAGACTGCCACACATGGTTTTGGTCTGTCCTAGAAGCTCTGAGTCCCTGGGTGCCTCTGCCTGTTTATGCTTCACACACTCCACACTTACCTGGCTGCCCTTGATGTCAGTGTGTGCCTCCCAGGCACCGAAATTCTGCCTGAACATCACCACCAGGCCAGTATGCTGATAGCGAGGTGCTCCTAAGACCAGGCTTTGAATCCGGCTCCTCAAGATGACTGCAGAAGCATAACCTAGAAAGAATCTTTTCATAGGCAAAATGTTTTCCACTGCAGACCTGGCCCTCCTTTCCACAGTGAAAGTCCATTCTTAAGTAGGGCAATAGAGCAGCCTCATGACTGATGTGTGGAGGTAGCTATTATGACCATAACTGAAATTAAATGTAGATTTTTAAAGAAGAATCTTTACAGCTATCCCAAGGGCCAACAAAAGATCTAACAGCAACCATGTCAGCAGAGTGATATCACATACTGACCCCTTCCTAGAGAATAACTCCAGCCCTCCTCACTCACCCAAGTAAGCATCATTCATGTCTGAATCCACTCTGGTTGTGTTGATGAAGGTGGCTTTATCTTTTGATGTGTACAGGAAGGCTCCACCTGCCCAGTCAAAGCTCCCCACAGAGCCCAGCAAGGGACCGCTCTGCAGAAAGGCACATAGCAAGATTGAGAAAGGAAGAAAGAGAGGACCAGTGATGCCCACCAAAAACCCTCCAGATGAAAACCCTAAACCTTTGCACCCCTTCTTTCTTTTCATGCCCCATCTTCACCCCCAGTTTGACACAGAACCACTCACAGAGGTGATGGCAGCGCTGAAGCCTTCTTGAGACATCTCATGCTCAAAGGAGCTAGAACTTCCTGTCTGCGTGCCTGTAAGCAATAAAACTTTCTCCATTAAAGCTAGCAGAAAAGCATGGATCAAATACCCAAAACTTCAAATGCTCTCGATACCAAAGTGAGGCTCCAGTGTTCAACTGGGCACATGAGCATCATAAGGGGATGGTGGCCCTTCAGCTACCTTTTCTCAAGGAAGAATGGGTCCTCCACGTACCTGACCTTCCAACCTTTGCACAGAAGCTGTAGATTGGTTACATATGAAATGCCCTAATGTGGCCAAGTGTTGTAGCACATACATGTAACCCCAGCACTTGAGAGGCTGAGGCAAGAGGATTACCTCGAGTTCAAGGCCATCCTGGGCTACCAGGTGAGACTGTCTCAAAAACAAATCCCCAAAGAAAGAAAGAGATTCTCTAATTTATAAATGTATGTGATAAATATTTGTTGGACATTTCTATGTACCACACACACTTCTAGGCCGAGATGTGGTGGCCAGTCAGCAATGTTCATAGCACATACAAATTTTTGGAAAAACATTGTATAATATTTGGACCCACTGTGATATGGTTTAATCACCCTCTAGCCTAGATTTTATAATTAGAGACAAGAAAAATCTATCTATATTTCTTTCAAAGGGATGGAGCGCGTGAGACCAAAATGGCTGGAGAAGAGCGGGCGCTGGGGGACGGATGCTGAGCGGGAACCGCTGACCTGCCCTGAGCTGGCTCACCCTCGATTGCAAAGATCTTTTCCTGAAGCTGGTTCTGAATGGTCTTCAGAGCTTCAAAGTTGTTCACTTGGAACACGTGATCCCTAGCTGGCTTAGATGCAATGGTGTTGAGCTCTTCTCGGGAATGATCTTTGGTGAAGGCACTTCCCACCTGTTACCAAGGAGCGAGAGCTGAGTTACGTATTTCTCTGACAGTAGCCGCACCAGGAAGCAAAGAAAATTCCTCGATCAAAGAATCTGAAACTTGTTCTATTGAATGAAAAGCTGAATAGAAGGCTGCTTAGAGCAGGGCTGCTGGGGACAGTTAGGCAGGTCATTTGTAGCGAGGGAGCAATTTGGTATTTAGATGATCACCCATTTGTTAGGCCGCTCCTCCTGGTAGGGGGCTGCTGTCTCCCCAGCAAAAAAATAGAATCTTTTCTATGATTTTGCCTTTAATTCTCTCTCTTTCTCTTTCTCTTTCTCTCTCTATCTCTCTTTCTCTCTCTCCTGTGTGTGTGTGTGTATGTGTGTGGGTGTGTGTGTGTGTATAACAGAGAGAGAAAGAGAGAGCACAAGGGAAAGGATGGATGGATGGATGGATGGATGTCTGTGTGTGTGTATATATTTGTATATCTGTGTGTGCCTGTGTGTCTGTATGTCTGTGTCGTGTGTGTGTGTGTGTGTGTGTGTGTGTGTGTGTGTGTGTGTGTGTCAAGAGGTGTCAGACCACTTGGAGCTGGAGTTACAAGCTGTTCTGAGCCTCCTGACCAGGGAGCTAGGAAGTAAACTCTGGTCCTCTGGAAAACCAGTAAGTGCTCACACTGAGCCTTCTCTCCAGCCCCAGGAGAATCTTTTTCATATGTGAAGGTCCCTCTTACATGCCATGCTATAAATTCATGGCACCCTTTTCTATGTCATCCAAGGTGGGGCGCAAACATAATTATACTAGTGACCCTAAAATTTTCTCTTCTTCTCTAACCAAGCCTCTTTTTCAAGTTTTGCCACACCAGTCTGTTCTTGACGGACTTCCCTGCCCCACTCACTGTTGTCTCCATGTCAGCCCACAATTGTTACCAAATGCAATGCAAATGGAAGCTTGTAAAAGGCACCTGCTTTCTGCTCTGCCTTCACCATAAGGGCATCCCCAGGTGAGGCCATGGGAGAGTGAGGCCCAGGGAGCAGTAGGGCCAAGCTACCCAACTTGTTCCCAGCAAGGCCATCTGCCCAGCAGACAAACAGGACTCGGGGGGGGGGGGCAGAGAACAAAGGCCAGGTGCACAGACCTGCCCACCAGCCTGCAGCTAACAGCAGATGCATAGGTGAGCCTTGCTGAGACCAGGAAAACAGTCTGGCCGAACTACAAGCTGACTTACACAAAGCCACTGAGTTGGGGATCCTTTGTACATAAACCGCATCACTGTGACGTAGCTACATGGTAGCAATGTGTATGGCCTACCAATGGCTCTTGCCTTCTTGCACTTTTACTGATATTTGCACATTGAAGACAGAACATTTCAGTAGAAAAACTCTAATCTCCACGGAAGTACCAGGCCCAATATCCGTATTTCCTACCCCAATAACATAGCGAATGATCCCCGCTCTGTCTGCCTCAGGGATGACATCCTCGTAATTCAAGGGATCACCGTATTTTTCTCCATCTGTGATGACAACGAGGATCCTCACAGCATTCTCCCGGGCCCCGCTGGCTTTCTGAAACAGTTCTCTCCTGTCCAGAGAAGGGAATGACAGAGACATGAGTGGGCAGAGACGCTGTTGGCATTTGGCATGAGACAGCAGCAGAGGAACCGTCACAGGAACTGGGTTCTGTCTGTCTGGGTGGGGCTGCGCACCCCCCACCCCGAGTTTGACTTTTTGTTTTTATGTTTTGAATACAGAGTCTTGCCGGGCCTCCAATTAGTGATCCCCCTGCCTCTATCTCCTGAATTACAGTTACTACTATACACCAGTTCCTCATTGCTGTTAAATACAGAAGGAAAAAAAAATGTAAAGAACTAAAGAAGTAAACGTCTTTGATCCATCATCAAATCTCACCCAGAATACTACACAAGCTTCCAAGCTCATTTCCCTGCATTTGTGTGTGCGTGACAAAGAGTGAGAAAGGGTATCATACCTCACCTTGTTTTGAGACAGGGTCTCTCATTGGCCTGGAGCTAGCCAGGGAGCTCCAGGGATCTTCCTGTCTAAGCCTCCCTGGCATTGGGGTTACAAGTGAATTGCCACAGTGTCTGGCTTTTCTACCTGGGTTCTAGGGGTGGAACTCAGGTCTTTATGCTTGCATTGCAATAACTTTATTAACTATGTTATCCTGAACCTCGGCTTCGTACACTTCTGCCCAAGCCCATACTCACCTCTGTATATATCCCAAAAACAGAGCAATGTTAAAAACAACAAACACGAATGCCTCCCGCCCACTTAAAGCTTTCAGGGGATCCACAATGAATATAAAGTAGCATTTAGGGACTATTTTTATTTTGTCTTTTGGTGGTTAGATTCAGCCCACATTTCCAGCTGTGTTCTTGCTGCCCCTTTTAGCTGTTAATTTTAACTGCAACCTGTGTTTACATGCACATTCTTCAAATTGTTTGGCCCCTCTGAAAAATATTTCACTCCATTTCTGTCTGAACAACCCCTCTGATCCTCAATAAGTCCAGCTAAAAGTACCAGCACTTCCCCCAAACACAACGATGAAAGAACTCACACTACTTTACGGATCCCCGTGGCAGTTTTTGTCCTTCCATTCAGCTGCCTTATGGGACTCACATGAAATCCTGGGTCAGGGTATTTCTTGAACTCACTGAAGGTGAAGTGAGTCCGAAAATCATCAGAGTACTGCATCAAAGAGAACTAGGAAGAAAACACCCGGCATTACTCTACAGGACGTGCCCATCACCCCAACAAGGGCCTTACACATCTTTTTAACAGTACGAGAGCTCAGCAAGAATGACTGCGGGTTCATTCCCCAGGACAGCCCCTGTCAATTAACCAGTGCACCAACTTGACGGGAGCCAAAAAATGCTGAGACAGCAACAAGAATAGCAGAAAAGAGTGTGGCGAGGTGATGTCACCACTTTACCAAATCCCACATTTGCATTGCTCAGAACAGGGCAGCCTGGTTGTCATGCATTTGTTTGCCTTATGTAGGGCTCCCCATCAGCCCTCACCAAGGCTTTAGACTCTGAAAACTGGCCCATCACAGTTGAGACAAACTCCTTCATCTTCTGAAAGTCATTGTTGCTGATGCTACCAGAGCCATCAATCAAGAAGGCAATGTCACTCTCTTGCTGAGGACATCCTAGACAAGAGGAAAAAAGAACACAAATTGGTTAAGTAATTAGAAATGTTCTTTTAATGTCAGCTCTCAGCTGGACAATGAAGGGTGGGGAAGGGAGAGAGAGAGAGAGAGAGAGAGAGAGAGAGAGAGAGAGGAATCCTGAATTTGCATCAAGTTAAATAAAATATGGACAGACCTCTTGCACATCAGCAAGATGGGGGACCAGAAGCCTTTGGCAGAACTAAAATCAACTGAATGAAAGTAACTACAGAGGGCGCCAGAGTATGTCAGGGGAGTAGCAGTGACCCTAGAGAGCGCAAAAACCCAGGCTGGCCCCGGAGGGGGCCCAAAGGCAAGATCAGTGTCAAGCCAAAAGAACAGGAGGACGCTATGTCAGAGAATACCAACATCTCTCACCGCCTTAGATATCTACAGTTCTCCACACTGGGGATCTCTGCAGCTCTCACAAGCACTATGCCCAGCTGAGGGAGCTGCCTGGAATCCACTTGGCTATGCTCCCTCAGAAGAGCCAACACTGCATCTGCTCCCACAACAGCATCATATCTTGGAACCACAGACACTGCTAATGCATGACCTACTCCAGGGATGAGTCATCGTGTTACCTTCCTTCCGCTGGGGTTTAGCGGCTTTGGGGTCAGGTTATTGTGGAGCTGTCTTGCTTACTGTACTATTTCTGTGAGAGGACATCATGGCCAAGTCAGTTTATAAAAGAAAACATTTTAGAATGGATGCTTGCTTACAGTTTCATAGGGTTAATTCATGCCCATCATGGCCAGCAGGCTGGCATGGCACTTGAGCATCAGACAAGAATTTACATCCTGATCTGAAGACAGCAGGCAGAGAGAAAATGAGACTAACCCTTGCATAGGCTTTTAAAGCCTCAAAGCCTACCCCAAATGACATACCCACCCTAGAAAGGCCATACTTCCTAATCTCTCCTAAACAGTCCACCACTGGAAACCAAACATTCCAATATATAAGCTTACAGGGACCATCCTCATTCAAACCACACAGGAGCCATCCCATTGACCCTTCCAAGAATAAGCCAAGGCACCAGCTCAGGAGGGTCACTGGAATTCATGTCCTTTGATGCTCAAGATCTAGAGGCAGATTGGTTCTGCACAGGCAGAACCAAAAGTCATACCGAGAAGAGGCACCAAAACATCTCTAAGCAAGCGCTTTTCCAACAGGGCTAAAGAGAAACAGCCAGTACCACTGCATATTCGGGCTGTACTGCAGCAACAGCAGCCACCATCCAGTGCCAGAAATAGAAGGCTGGCCTGGCAAGTGGAATAGATCCTCTGCAGCATGCAGTTTCAACCAAAAGAGTTCAAGTCTTTGAACTTGGGCAGAGTCACACCTACTCATGGCTAAGCTGAATCAGCAGAGCCCTGGTGAGAAGAGAGTGGAGATGAGATCTACCCATAATCCCAAAAAGAGGACCCCAGACTTGAAGACTGAATGTTGTCCAGGGCAAGTGAGTTATAGTTCCCAAAATGGGCTTGAAAGTAATTGTTTGAGCTAGGGGCTTTTAATCCCAGCACTTGGGAAGCAGAAGCAGTGCTTTGTTAATTCAAGGTCAGCTTGGTCTACATAGCAAGTTCCAGACCAGCCAGAGATACGCAGTAAGACGTTGTCTTGAAGAAGGAGGAGGAATGGTACAAAGAGGAGGAGGAGAATGTGAAGGAGGGGGTCTACATAGTGAGTTCCAGGGCAGCTGGGGCTATATAGAGAGATCCTGTCTCAGAAAGGAAGGAAGAAAGAAAGAAAGAAAGAAAGAAAGAAAGAAAGAAGGAAGGAAGGAAGGAAGGAAGGAAGGAAGGAAGGAAGGAAGGAAGGAAGGAAGGAAGGGAGGAAGGGAGGAAGGGAGGAAAAGAAGAGAAGAGAAAAGAAGAGAAGGAAGGAAGGAAGGAAGGTTGGTTATCAAAGAAATGTCTGCCTTTTGCTTTACAATCAGCTCAAAGCTGCCCAGCACTGTGGGAAAGTCCCTTGAAATGATTATTCAAGCCCTCACTTTCTTTCTCAATCAACAAATGCCTAAGAAACGAGTTATCAGGCAGCCACCCTATAGTCCCTCCAACTACGATACACATGTACAGTTCCTGTCTTGGTCTGAATGAGAATGACCCCCATAGGCTCGTAGATTTGATTGTTGGGTCACCAGGGACTGACAGGCGCTATTTGAACGGATTAGGAGGTATGGCCTTGTTGGAGGAGGCGTGTCACTGGGGTGGGCTTTAAGATTTCAACAGTTCCGCCAAGCCCAGACTGAAACTGCCAGCTCTGCCAGCAGTAAAACACTAAGACAGTCTCTCTCCACTGTGTAGCTGAAGATGACCTGATCTTCCTTCTCCCAAGTGTTAGGACCACAGATAAAGGCCACTACACCTAGCTGTTTCTCTCTCTCTCTCTCTCTCTCTCTCCCTCTCTCTCCTTTTTCTCTGCCCCTTTCTGGTTGTCTGCCTCTCCCTACCTTCTTTATTATGCCTCCTATTATCCCCTGTGTTCTCCTTCACTATGAGATGATCCAGCTGGGTATAAGGTGACCATGTGCCAAGCAACTAAGGGAGATTCCCCAGCCAACCGCCCATGAGAAACAGAGCTCATCAGCTCAACAGGCATAGCCATGAGCTTGGCGTATGACCTCACCCCAGTCAAGACTTCAAAGGAGACTGAAGCCATGGTTAAACAACTTCACTTCAGCTTCCTGAGAGACTCAGAAGCAAAGGCTAGGCCAGGCCAAAATTCTTGACCTACAGAACATTTGATGTGGTAAAAAATGTTTAACAGTTTTAAAGTGCTGTATTCGTTAGGTGACAACGCACACAGGCATATAGAACATTCTGTGCAGTGTACTTGTTTGCATGCAGAAGAAAGACAGGATAAGGAAAGAAAAAAGGAAACTAGGTCTGTATGAGATGGCAAAGGAGGACATTGTAATAGGGACCAATGGTGGGATGGTTAGAAGGCCCACAGAGCACAGAGGAAAGACTGCTTCAAACAGCTACTTAATTTTTTTTTTCTTAGAGTACTGCTATGTAGCCCAGGCTGACCTCAAACCCATGATACTTCTGCCTCAGCCTCCTGGTGCTGGCATAATGAGGAAGTGTCACCATGAATATCTTGAAAGAGATGATATTTAATCCAGAATCCGTTAGGATTTGAGAAAGGGGTAAGAGCTCTGAGGATAGCTTTGTAAGGTTTTTGGAGAAGAGAGGTGGTGGGAGGGGGCTTTGAAGCATGGTAGCTGAGACAGAATGAGTAGGAAGAAGCTGAGGAAGAGAGCAGGGGCTACACCATCAACACCACCAAAGACTATGCCTGGGAGACCCCAGCAATTGCTCCAAGGATGACGACCGGGACATCTGTAAAGCCAAGTAGCTGGACCTCTCTTCCCAGGAGTGGCTAATGCAAGTACCTTAACTCCTCTCCAAGAGACCCAGGGTTTCCAAGCTCCCTGTGGTCACACCCCCAAGGCTAGACCATGAGCAACCACCAGCCTAACCCTGCCTCCCATCCTCAAATCTCTACTGAAAGGCACATACCTCTGAGAGCCTCTGGGAACTGCTGTGGTGGCCTCAGCAGGTTGGAGCCAAATAAATAGCACAGACCATTCACGTAGGTGTTGTCCTTGCAGTTTTGGTGCACAGTGGGGCCGCATGCCTGAGGGCAGAGCACAAGTAAGAGCCCCTGCCTCCCGCCCTCCCGTCGCAGCACCTCCACCATCCACAAGACCTCCAGCCCAGCATCCCCGGGTCTCCCATTTCTCCCCTCAAGGCCCTCTTCTGATGGACACCAACTCACCAGCAGCTGGGAAGGGCTCGTAGAGGCAACCAGGGACAGGCCCAAGGACATATTCACAGCCTCTGGGGGTACTGAGGAGACAGATATGCACAGTCATCCTCGGGGATAAGAGGAGCTGTGAAACAGCCAGGTAGGGACATGGCAGGCGTGCACAACCATGTTCACAGAGGCAGGGGGATGTCTGAGTTTAATGCCCGCCTGGTCTACAGAGTGAGCTCCAGGTCAGCCAGGGCTACACAGAGAAAGTCTATCTCAAAAAACCTAGATAGAGAATTAGATAGATACATAGATAGATAGATAGATAGATAGATAGATAGATAGATAGATAGATAGATAGATAGATAGATAGGATAATGAAAAGAAAATGCAGTCTTCACAATGGAGTCTTACCCAGTCACAAAGAAGAATGAAGACAAGATTTAAAGTGTGGTGCACTATTTGGAGTACAGGCCAGCTGGAAGAGCCAGGGGAGATTACAAAGGGTAAAGAAGACTAAAGGATTGAAATATATTGTACACATTTATAAAAATGTCAGCCAGGCACGGTGAGGAAGACCTTTAATCCCAGTAACTGGAAGGCAGAGGCAGGAAGATCTCTGTACGTTTGAGGCCAGCCTGGCCGACATAGCTAGTTCCAGGCCAGCCGGGGCTGCACAATGAGACCCTGTCTCAGAAAGAAAAAAAACAAAGGACTAAAAAGAAGCTGTCATAACTAAACTCTATTTCAGGAATGGGGCTGTGGCCCTGTTTGTAGAGTGTGGCCTAGCATGCACAGAGCATAAGGTGACCTATGGCGATGGTGAAGCAGGAGAATGCAGAGTTCAAGGTTATTGCCAGATACATAGCAAGTTTGAGGCCAGCTTGGGTACAAGAGGCCTTGCAGAGAGGGGAGGGGTGGGGAAGAGAAGGAGAGAGGAGGAGAGGGAGATAATTCTCTTGTGTGATATAATACAAGCTACTGATGTCTAGCTGGGAACAGGAAAGATGGCCTGCCTCAGTCAATGAAGCTAGCCATGAAAGCATGAGGGCCTGAGTTTGGATCTCCAGAACCCCATGTAATAAAGAGGGTGTGGTCACGTCATCCTTAGCCCAGTGCTAGAACGACAGACACAGAAGCACTCTTGAAACTCATCGGCCACATGGCTCAGCACATAAGGGCACTGTCCGCTCCTCTAGGACCTGGGTTTGATTCCCAGCACCTCCATAACAGCCCACAACTGCAGAGACCCTGACATTCTCTCGTGACCTCCCTGGGCAGCAGACATGCATTTGACACATATACATACAGAGAGGCAAATAAGCTGCCAAGAGTTACTTCAGCCTGGGAGACACCGGATAGATTATGCAAAAGGAACGTAGGGGTGGGGGTTGCCTGAGGGGTCCAAAGGCAGGGCAAAGGCTAGGGGCAAAGGCCAGGTGTTCCGTGCCCCACCCAAGTCTCACAGGACTCAGGAATGCTTGACAAACCAGGTGTGTTCACAGAGGGAGTCGAGACTCACCTTGCAGGGCAATGGGCTGGCACCTCCGTGTGCTGTAGTCACACTGGTAGAGGACGCCTGTCTGGTTAACATCCTTTACCTCCTGGGGGGCTGCAACAACCACACTGTAGGAAGGGGGAAAGTAAGGAACATTCCGAATGTCGGGAGAAGTCTGCCTTCCAGAGGGAAATGGGGTTCCTGAACTCCCACAGATAGGTGGAAGAAACAGCAGAGAAAAATAAAATAAAAATAAAAATTTAAATCCCAGAACGGGAAAGCCCTTTCTAAGAATGACACAAAACACTGAGAGAATTTTTAAAAACAGATTTAAGACAAGACCCCATGAAGTTAGGATGGAAAAGGGATTGGGCGATACGGGAAAATAGGAGTTGAGGAGCTAAGAGATGGGTTTGCCCAAAACATAGTACACGTACATAAGGAATTCTCAAACAATAAAAAATTAGTATTTCGATGACATAACCATTTTAAATAAGTGTACACATGTGATAAACGACCAAAAGCAAAGTCAGAAGATAAACGAGAAACCGGGAAAGGGAGACTTGCAAACTACACCCCAGGTTTCCTTCCTCCGGTCTCTCGGTTCCTACAAACCGTGAAGGGGAAAGAGTACAAAATGAGGAAAGGTAAGAAAAAAGCATCAACAGAAAAGGAATTGCTGTGGGACATGTGCCCTGGGTCCAGCACGACCTTTGCCATGTTGAACTCCCAGAAGCTGCTGTTACCCAGAAGAGACCAGAAAGGGGCTGACCCCATCCTCTGGAGGGGAGGGAGGGGCACACAGGGCTGTTACTGGTTGGTGGGGAGGAAGATTCTCTTGTAAGTTGTTCGTGCTCCTGTGGGTAACCCCTCCTCCACGCTGTGGAAGCAAATCCCAGCTAAAGCCATTGGCCCAGAGAGCTACACCCAGACCGGCTCCTTCTTCAGTCTGCTGTTGGCGTCCTCTCTGAAGTGAACATACATTTGACCACATCTCTCCAGAACGAGTCACACAACAGAAATACCTCCCATTAGAGGAGAAAACCGGCTGGCGAGAGGCTCCAGTGGGTAAAGGCGCTTGCCACTCAAGCATGATAACATGAGTTCAGTCCCTGGGACCCATGATGGGAGGAGAGAACTGGCTGTCAAAAGTTATCCTCTGACCTCCACATGCCCGCATCTCAATCACACACACACACACACAAACACACACACACACACACACGTATACACTACTAGATCATGAGCCTGTTCCTGATTCCTCTAGGAGGCCAGATCTCACAGTCTAAAGCAGTCATGCACAAAAAAGAAACAAGGAGAAATTAGATATCCCGGAGGTGAAGGGGGCCCCAAGGAACTGACACCCCTAATCAGCAGGAAGTAGTCTGATGATAATGTCGCCCCTTCCTGACCCCTGACACTATTCAGGGATCTCTTTCCTTTCTTCTCTTACATCTAGTGTTAGGGAGTTGAGAGGGAAGAAGAAAAGGGGTGGAAAAAAGTGGAAGAAAGAAGAGCCCACAAAGTAGTAAAAATCTGGCTATACCCTCTCTCCAGGACAAGGGAAGAAGGCTTCTGTGTATGTAGCTTTACAACTAATTTATGCCCTACCCAGTACCCGGCACCCCATTCCGCTTACCACATACGAAGCACCTCACACTAAGTCATGTGGTACAGAACTTCCCATCATCTCCTGAAGACGTAAAAGTCAAGATTCTTTTCCTTTGGTTCCTTGGATTTCTTACAGTTTCCTCTGGGCCTCTCCCCATGATCCTGTCATGATAGCTCTCTCTCTCTTCAGGGTCTCACTACACCACTCTGGCTGTCCTGGAACTCATTATGTACACCAGGCTGGCCTCAAACCCACACAGATCTGTCTGCCTCAGTATCCTGAGTACTGGGATTAAAAGTGTGTGCCACCACAGAAGGCTAAGATTTTTTTGTTAAGTGTGTGTGTGTGTGTGTGTGTGTGTGTGTGTGTGTGTCTATGTGGGGTATATGCATATGAGTAGTGTTTATGGAGGTTGGAGGTGGACCTGGTACACCTGGCCACTCCTTTTTTTCTATCCAACATTAATAATAGTAATAACAGTCATCTTTTTAAAAACTTAAGGCAACTAGAAAGCTGGCTCGGCAGTTAAAAGCACTGGCTTCTTTTCCAGAGGACCCGGGGTTCAGTTCCCAGCACCCACACTGCAGGGTATAACAGCATGAGGGTAGGAGAGGAATAAGTATTGGCAATCCCTGACAGCTAACAATAAAAACCTTTAGGAAGAAAGCGATATGAAAAACAATTACACAGAAGCTTCCTAAAATAGGTACATCAAAGGTACATATTTTGTGTACACACACACATATTTGTGTATGTATACAACACACATGCATACACCCACACAGAGAGATACACACACACATACAATTTTTTAAACCTTATAGATGTGTGAAATTTATACGGCGTTACCCTATAAGGAGGGAGGCAATCCCTCTCCCAGACGCTATGGCTGTTAAGTAAAAGCACAGGTGTCACCTGTGACTCCAGTTCCGGGTGACCCAACGCCCTCTTCTGGCCTCTGCAGGCACTGCATGCGCACAGTGCACAGATACACAGGCAAACATACAGCTAATATGGAAATTAGCTGTATGTTTGAATGTTTGTATGAAATCTCAAACTTTTTGAGGAAAGAAAAAAAAAAACATTGGTAAATGTTCAACATCCTCATGAGGGAAATGCAAATTAAAACTACTTTGAGATTTCATCTTCCCCAAGGCAGAATGACCAAGATTTTTTTTTTTTTTTTTGAAAATTACAACAAATGCTGCTGTGAGGGAATCGCTGTTGGTGGGACAGCAAACTGGCACAGCCCCTATGGAAATTAGGGTGGAGGTTCCTCAAAAAGATCAAAATAGATTTACCGTAAGATCCAACTATCCTATATCTGGGCATGTGCCCAAAGGGCTCTATTTCCCTCTACAGAGACACTTGCTCCTCTAGTTCACTGCTGCTATATTCACAACAGCCTAGATGTCCCTCAACTAATAGATAATGGAACTGTGGTACCTAAACATAGCGTAATATGATTCGGCTAGAAGGAAAAATAAAATCACAAAATGTGTAGGCAAATAAAAAATAAAATCATAAAATCTAGAAATGATCGATGTGGGTAAGTAACCTAGACCCAGAAGGACAGATGCCAGGTGTTCTCACTCATATGTGGGTGCTGTCTTTGAATTTTTGTGTTTGTGTGCTTAAACTGGGGTAGTCCTAGAAGCCAGGAAAGTAATAAGGGATCGTGGGAAGGGGGGCTGTCAAGGGAGATGGTATGAAAGTGGTGTGAAGAGGGAAGAGAGGATAGTGGAGCACAGGGGCTGAGAGAGGGCTGAGCATGGGGAGTGATAACTAACAACAAAAACCTTTTTTTTAAAAAAATGCAGTATGGAAACCAGCTACTAAAGAAGCCTCCTGACATCTTAGGAAAGAAGTGGGAAACAGTAAGATCTGGAGAGGACAGGAACTCCGCAAAGAGAGCAACAGAACCAAAAAATCTGAGCACAGGGGTCTTTCCTGAGACTGATACTCCAACCAAGGACCATGCATGGAGATAACCTAGGACCCCTACACAGATGTAGCCCATGGCAGTTCAGCATCCAAGTGGGTTCCATTGTAATAGGAACAGGGACTGTCTCTGACATGAACTGATTGGCCTGCTCTTTAATTACCTCCCCCTGAGGGGGAAGCAGCATTACCAGGCCACAGAAGAAGACAGTGCAGCCACTCCTGATGAGACCTAACTGACTAGGATCAGAAGAAAGGAAAAGAAGACCTCCCCTACCAGTGGACTTGGAGACGGGCATGCATGCAGAGGGTGGAGGAAGAGAGGGATTGAGACGGGAGGAGAGAGGGAACCACAGGGGGGATACAAAGTGAATAAAGTGCAATTAATAAAGAATTTTAAAAAAATAAAATTTAAAAAAGACAAAAAAAAAAACTTGTACCAGGGTGAGCAAAGGTAAATGTAGGCAAAATATCCATACACATGAAATAAAAATAAATAAATCTAAAAAAAAAAATCTGTATACCCAAAGAACCTAATCAAGGAGGAGGACCTTGGGTAAAATGCTCAATCTTCATTCAGAAAGGAAAATGGGAGGGACATAAAAGAGTAAGAAAACAGGAAACAGGACAGGAGCCTACCACAGAGGGCCTCTGAAAGACTTTACCCAGAAGGGTATCAAAGCAGATGCTAAGACTCATAGTCAAACTTTGGTTGGAGTGCAGGGAATCTTATGAAAGAAGGGGAAGATAAAAAGACACGGAGGGGACAGGAGCTCTTCAAGGAGAACAACAGAACCAAAACATCTGGGCACAGTGGTCTTATGTAAGACTGATACTCCAACCCAGAACCATGCATGGAGATAACCTAGAACACCTGCACAGATGTAGCCCATGGCAGCTCAGTGTTCAAGAGGGTTCCCTAGTAATGGGAACAGGGACAGTCTCTGATATGAACTCAGGAGCTGGCTCATTGATCACCTCCACCTGAGGGGGGAGCAGTCTTACCAGTCCACATAGGAAGACAATGCAGTCAGTCCTGATGAGACCTGAAAGGCTAGGGTCAGAGGGAAGGGGAGGAGGACCTCTCCTATCAGTGGATTGGGGGAGGGGCATAGGAAAAAGAAAGGAGGGAAGGTGTGATTGGGAGGGGATAAAAGAGAGGGCTACAGCTGGGATACAAAGTGAATTAACCATAAATAATAAAAAATAAAATTTTAAAGAAAAGGAAATAAAGAAAATTCTGGAGTCACTAGTCTATAGCTCTCAAGAAAACACACTCTTTCCTGTCCTAGAGTGCTTTTAGAGATCTCTAGTCAAACAATGACCTCTTGACCTAGCACCCCCACCCCAGAGACTGTGAGAAACAAATTCTATAAAAGTAGAAAGAGAAACCTCCTGAAATATATCATCATGTTACATGTGCATGTACACACACACACACACACACACACACACACACACACGCAGCACACACATGAAATTTATATAGAGCAGATGCCAGGAGCTATTAAATAAAAAGCCTAGTTACGGAGTACCCCTTTTCAAGTTGTTGCTCAGTGGGATCCCACAAATGTCCCCCGCCTCCTCACCCCCGCCTAAACATGACTGGCTATTACCATCGCTCATGGTTACCCTCCAGAATGTGATGGCAAGATCTTATTGCTTAAGGCAACGTGTACTTGAGTCATAGACTATGGAGAAATCAAGTTGCTACTAAGTTGGAAACTCCATCCCTACTGGCTGGCTTCCCTGGTGGTGGAAGGCTCTATGCATATTACCAGGGGAAAAAGCAATCAAAAGTTTCCCACAGCTCTGAACTTTTCAGCTACAAAAAGGCCTGGCCTGGCCCGATATCCAAGTGTCCACTGGTGGCATAGTGGCCAGAATGTTATGAGGAAGTGCTTGACACCAACCGAGACCTGTGAGAGGAGGGATAATCTCCATCCAGGAGTTGCCTCCATCAAATTGGCCTAGAAGGGCATTTTTCTGGGTTGCTGGTTGATGCGGGTGTCCGGTGAGCATTGCCACGCCTGGAAAGATGCTTCTTGGCTGCTTAAGAAAGCAGGCTAAGCAAAGCAAGAAGCAAGGCTCCTCCAGGGCTTCTACTTCACTTCCTGCCTCCAACTTCCTGTCTCCAAGTTCCTGCCTTGGCTTCCCTCAGCGGACTGTGACTCAGAATTTGCAATCCAAACAAACCTCCTCCTCCCCAAGTTGCTTTAAGTCATGGCGTCTTATCAGAGCAACGGAAACCTAAGACAAGCCGTAGCCTCCACTCTGCTTGCATTTTAAGTCTGGTCACAAGATGAAACTCGTATCCAGTACTGTTGACTGGGCCAAGATTCTTGTAGCTAAGTAGGCCATAGGCCTGAGGGGGAAAGCTATTACTTTTAGACTACTGAATGGACCTAGTATTAAACTTCTTTCTGAGAGCTCAACATTGTACCTTAGATCCGCACCCCTCTCAGTCCTCACCAGAGAAGCTTCTGCCTAAGTAGATGACAACTAGTACAGAGACTCACAACTGGTCCGTACATAGAGACTAAGAGACGGGATGCTCAGCTCTACTTGAGACATCTGTACTACACACTTCCTCCCAAGGCTCAGGGGTCATTACAGAACAGGAAGTGGGAAGCCAGTGCGAGCCAGGGGCCCGGGGTGATGGCGGTGAAAGAGAGTCTTCTAGACATGAGAGTGCTATTGCTCACAGTCTCTGGGACTGCAGGCCCCACGACTTCTTAAATATTTCTCTAAAAATAAGTGTTGTAGGCTTTGTGGACTCTGTCCCCTGATCACTTCCCTGTATTCTGAGTAACAAGTGATCGGGACTGTGTTCAAAATTATTTCCATAGCGGAGAGATGGTTCGGTGGCTAAATGTACTTGATGGCAAACCTGACAAGCTAAGTCCCACCACAGGGCCCTCTTGGCAAAACCAACTCCAGTAAGTAGCTCTGACTTTCACCAGGCATGCTGTGGCAGGTGTACTCGTACACACATCTTAGAAGTATTTACAGTAACAACCTAAAAGCAGGTCATAACTTGAACATAACTCGTGATGCAGATTGAGGGTGGGAAAGTAGGCCGCAGTTAGGGGGTAGAGATAAAGACAGATAAAAATCTCTCCTAAAGAACCACGAGAAGCCAATTGTCAAAAATCCTTCCTAGGAAGGAAAGTTCAGGGAGTAAGAAAGACTTTTTGCTCTCAACCTTCTTGGATCTTAAAATTTTGGACTCCTGGAACCTCACTACTGATTCAACAAAGAAAATTCAGCCAAGAGGGTGGGGGGACGGGGCTGTGGCTCAGTGGTAGAACATCTTCGAGCCTTGGACTCCACCCCCAGCAAAAAAGGCACAGAGAGAGAATGGGGGGGATGGAGAGAGGGAGAGGGACAGGGAGCAAAGGAAAGAGGGAAGAAGAAAGATCTTCTCCCATCCCCACGCCCCTTGCATTTAGAGAAGCACTGAAACCCAGGATTTCCCCTGAAGCCTTTACCGGGATGCATCAAGCTGGACCACACTCTGCCCAAAGCCTCTTGCATTCTCTTGGAAGGTCATGGGATTTTCAGTGTCCAGATTGAATCCATGACATAAGGCCAGGGCTGAAAGGATAACAAGAAAAAAAGAATCAAAGCAAAGGAACCATCACAGTTAAGGTGACAGCACAGCTTTCCACCCGTGAGCATTCCTGACCACATGCACTGAATGACAGCCCGGGGCAGGGCTTCACACAGTTGTGGGATCTGTCTGTTCAGTTTGTACACAGCCCAGCCTGGCCTGGAACACTGCAGTGTAACTGTGGTTACAAGACCTGATCTTCCTGCCTCCCATTCTACCTCCCAGATGCTTGGGCCACCGCAAGGCAGTCTATTCACTGTAGGCCAAATGTGCTGGCTCAGGCTCCAGGATCTATAAGAGCCTGTCATAGGGCATAGCCAGTCCCCATCTAAGCCCACAATGACCGCCTGTCTCACCACACACCCCTGTCATAACCACAAGGATTTACACAACAAAGGCCTGTTAGAAATTTTCCTTCCTATGCAATTCGCAAACAGTTCCTTCCCTTCTCGACTTACTCCCTACGAAAATAGATTAAAAAAGGAAACAAACTCAAACCACCATTTGATTCATCAGTCATTCAACAAACATTCACACTAGGTTCTAGTTCATTAGAACCCAAGGCTAAGTAGGAATGGTGAGTGGGTCACGGGAGGAAATCTGCCTGCTGTGTCCCCTAGTGCTGTCCCGGCATCTCTCTGGACCTCCGTAGCCTCACCTGTGACCAGCAGCCTTACAGAGTTGATGGATTTAGACTCCATCCATGCTCCCCTGGCCATTCTCTACTCTTTTCTTTCTTGAATCACTTATCCTTCCGGAAAGCCCTTTGCCTCTCCCCACCTAACTCCTCCCTAGTCTCTGACCTTTCTTTCCACTCAAAGACCCAAAAAGTCCCCTCCTCCCCTTCTGATGCCCAGTTCTGTCTTCCATTGGCACGGCACACATATGATGAGCATACATGCGTGTGGGGAAACACCCACGCACACACAAAAATAAAATAAAATAAATCTCTTTCTAAAAGAAACAGCCAAGAATCGGTCCAGCAATGTGGCTCAGCGGGTAAAGGGGCTTGCCATTAAGCGCTGAGTGCCTGAGTTCGATCCTCAGTACCCACCATCCCTAAAGACCTATGCCTCTCCCCACCAACTCCTTCCTAAAACCTTTCTCCTAGACCCCTCTGATGATCCCCTAGCCCCTTCTCCTCACCCTGAAAATCCTCCAAGCCCCCAACATACCTGTTATCAGAAGAACTCTGAAAGACATGACTGAAAGGAACAAGACCCTTGAAGGCGTGTGAACTGTGGGGTGTCAGGCACCGCAGACACACTGAGGAAGCCACCAAGGCCAGGAGGGGTGAAAATAGAGAAGTAAGAGGCAAAAGCTCTGAGAGATTCAAAAAGGGCGGAGGCTCTTCAAGCACCCATTTGACACTCGTTTTCCTCTGGGATGGGTCAAATGTTATTTTAAGAAAGAAAGGAAGAGAGAGAGAAAGAAAGAAAGAAAGAAAGAAAGAAAGAAAGAAAGAAAGAAAGAAAGGAGGGAGGGAGGGAGGGAGTTAGGGAGGGAGGGAGGGAGGGAGGGAGGGAGGAAGGAAGGAAGGAAGGAAAAAGAAAAGAAAAGAAAAGAAAAGAAAAGAAAAGAAAAGAAAAGAAAAGAAAAGAAAGCCAGGTGGCTCACTGTTTAGGACCAGGCTGCTCTCACAGGGGACCCATATCTGGTTCCCAGACCCACTAATGAAGTGTGTGTGTGTGTGTGTGTGTGTGTGTGTGTGTGTGTGTGTGTGTCACACACACTTCATTAGTTCTATTTCCCCAGACAGCCCTGCCTAACACCCAGGGTGACCTACTTTTGTCAAATAGGCCCCACTTCCCACAGTTTCCAGACATTCCCAAAACAGGCCACAAAACTAAAAATGGAGGCTGAGGGAAGGGAACAGATATGGATAATACAGGATATAGTCATTTCATACCTAAGCCATAAGGGAGTAATTTATTAGGTGAGATGGGTTTATTTTGATGAAATCTGTCACATTATGACCACCAAAAGGGGCTATTCTATCTCAGCATCGAAACTTCGTCTTATATGAGCAGAAGCTGAGAGTCCACTGACGGCAAAGATCTAGGTCAAGTCTCAGACTAGCTCTCCAATCCACAGTTTTTGTCAATGGCCCACTGTTCTAGTGGTCGCTGGGATAAAAACACCATCACCACAGACAACTTTGGGAGGCTTTATTTTAGCTTAAAATTCCAGGCGGCAGTCCATCATTTCAGGAAAGCCAAGCAGCTGTCACATGACAGCCACAGTCAAGAGCAGAGAGACAAAGGGAGGAGGCTGGCTTCCTTCACACCTATGCAGCCCAGCGCCCAGCTCTTTCTGCATCAATTGGCAATCAATGTAATCACCCACAGACACACCCATAGGCCATCCTGAGGGAATCAGTTCCCCAACAGAGGCAAGTTGACATTTAAAACCAACCATCACAGAGGCTGAAGAGACAGCTCAGCTGTTAGCATTTGTAGCTCTTGCAGAGGACCTGAGTTCCGTTGTCAGCACCCACACAGCAGCTCACAGTCATCTGGAATTCCAGTTCCAGAGAATCCAGCAACCTCTTCTGGCTTCTGGGGGCGCCAGGCATGAACGCGGTGGTGTACAGATGTGAATGGTATATACGCACACAAAATACCCATACACGTGAAAAAAGTCACACCCACCAACTGGACGACCGTACGACCGAACGGAAATACCAACAGGAAGGGAAAGTCTAAGAAGAAATTCAGTGGAAAGAATTCACTCCAGCTGTTCGAAGGAAGAGCTGAGTAAGCAGGGAAAGAACAGACAGGTGTGAAGACAGGACAATGAAATTTTTACGCCTAAAGAACATGAAGAAAAGTAAACATCTGAGGGATGAGAACTGCGTCACGTGGCACATGCGCACTGGCAGCCAATGACCTAGCAGTGAGAGGATTGTAAACGCAGTCCCTCTGTCCAGACACACCTCCCAAGAGGCCAAACCTCAGTAGCCTGGATGAGGTCACCTTCCACTGTGCGTGATGGGCCCGGAGCCCCTCAGGCCCATGAGAGAAGAATGAATGGCAGTGGGAAGGTCTTCAACGAGGTATTGGAGACCTATGTGCCTGACTTGGCCCACATCCCGGGCAGCACAATACAGGACATGATGCAGAACCCGCACCCCAGAGCTCCGTGCTCATCTCTCCAGGGTCCCTGCAGCAGCCTGAAAAGCTCAAAGGAAAGAGCAGAGCAGCAGCTGCAGCAGAGGCCGCTGAGGCTGCAACAGCGGGGGTGGCAGCTGCCCATCCTGCTTCTTTCCGAGATCAGGTGGCTGGGGCGGAGGAGGAGCTGTTGCTTGGAGGTGTTTGGTCCCCTTTCCACTGGGCGACAAGGAAGGTTGGTGCTTGGAAGAAGCTGCGCAGATGCTGATAAAGGCCAAAGAAGAAGAGCATACAGGCTGGCTTGATTCAGATCAGAACTTGCCCGGGCACCCAAAGGATGAGTGGAAGTCCTTCATCCTTCAGAAGTGTCACTGATCTACGCTCCCAAGGAGGCCCCCAAGAAGCTGATCTGTCTCACTGAGCACCGAAGGGGAGAGATTCAAAAATGTGCAGAGCCCTGGGGCCGACGGTGTCCCTGCTGTGAGTCGATTTGAAATAGAATACCGTGCATCACTCAGCGGCAATGACACGGAATTGGGCACAAGATGAAGAAAACACCACCAGGCGTGCACGCTGGCCGCCACTGATCTGGGCGATTCTGAAATTACTAGTGTTAAGTCTCAGACCCTGGGACAAATGGCTGAGGTGACTATTTAACATCTCAAAGCCAACCTGGTTGCCAGGTTCTCCCAGCATCCCTCAGTCCCTACCCGTTACAGGGTATGGCTGGCATACTCCGCCCTCAACCCCAAACTCTCCAGGCCGGGGCTGGGCTGCCCTTCCCCAGAGCCTCTTCTCAATATAATCCAGCCATTTTGGTTGCCTGCCCGCCTTGTTCCCTTGCCCTCTTGGCTGCTGCACCTAGTTGCGCTCTCTCTCCTCTCCTTTCCCTTCCCCCTCTCCCCACCTAGCCCAGCTCAGTCAGGCTCATGTCCAGGACTCTTCCAGATGTCTGGGCCTCTGGCTATGCTCTTTTATCTACAGTAAACATTCTCCTCCATCCCAGCTAGGAGCAGTCATATCCTTTCCTTTTCTTTCTTTTTTCTTTTTTTTTTTTTTCTCCATTCAATTAGAAGCAGAGCAGAGCAGACTGCAATACAGTGAACCAGGGAAGCTCTTCTGCAGTAAAACCCGCCAGAGCTTTTTTTCACAAAAAGAAAAGAACAAAAGGAAGATAAGGGAAAGAAAGCTGAAGAAATGGCTTAGAGGTTAACAGTACAGACTGTTTTTGCAGAGGACCCCAATTTGGTCTGACTTCCACAGATATCTGTACTTACATGTACATACCCACATGAACACATACATAACACAATTTAAAATAAGAAAAACAGGATAGACACGGGGCACACACCTTTAACCCCATCACTGGGGAGGCAGAGGCAGGTGGATCTATCTGAGTTTGAGGCTAGCCCGGTCTACAGAGTAAGTTCCAGGATAGCCAGGGCTATGGTTTGAGACCCTGTCTCAAACACTAAAATAATAATTAATTAATTAATAAAAATAAACAAGAAAGAAAGGATACTTCAAAGAATGACAGCTAGGTATAGTAGCACACACCAAAAATCCCAGCATTCTAGAGATGAAGGCTGAAGGACAAGAAGTTCAAGGTCATCCTTGACTACATCACTGACTTAAAGACCAGCCTGGACTAGGGTCAGATGGAAGGGGAGGAGGTCCTCCCCTATCAGTGGACTGGGGGAGGGGCATGGGAGGAGACGAAGGAGGGAGGGTAGGATTGGGAGGGGATGAAGGAGGGGGCTACAGCTGGGATACAAAGTGAATAAATTGTGATTGATTGATTAATTAATTAATTAATTTTTAAAAAGATCAGCCTGGAATACAGGAGACACTATTGAAAAAAAAAAAATTTGACAGAGAACCAACAGGATTGTTTAGTGGGTAGAGCCGCTTGCTACAAAGCCTGACATCCCAAACAGAATCCACGTGGTTGAAAAAGAGAACTGAGTCCCCCAAAGTTGTCCTTTATAAACACACCCGGTACAAGTGGGCACATAACACCCATACACACCACAAATAAATAAAATAAAAATAAATGTAAGAAAATTCTATAAAGAAAGATCTGACACTACCATCAAAAAGAATGGGTTTCTCTCAGAGAAAAGCAAAAGGCCTGTCTTTGGTCCTAACCCCCTTCAATAAACCACTACCCTGGTTTCACTTCCAGTTTGCAAAACTTCTCCAAAGCAGTTGCCTATATCTGCTGTGTGTTTTTCTCCCGAAAGCAAACAAACCTCACCCTAGCCCCTTCTCTACCAAAACAGCTTGAGATCACCAAGCCAACTTGGCTCACTTCAGCTTTTAGCCCTAAGTCCTTAATGATTCAGCCCTTTCGACCTTTTGGCACCACTTCCTAGAACGAACTTGTTTAGTTGGCTTCTGAAACCCCACAGCCCTGTCTCTGCTACCTCGGTCCCTCCTTCTTGGTTTCTTCGGTCAGTTCTCTCCTCCCCATTGGAGTTGCTCAGAGCACGGTCCTTTCACCCCTTTTGTTGCTGTTTTCAGACAGGGTCTCGCTATGTAGCCCCAGCTATGCCGGAACTCACTATGTGAACCCGGAGGGCCTCAAACTCCCAAAGATCCACCCACCTCTGCCTCCCGAGCACGGGGAATTCATACACGTGCGTGTGTGTTCATAGATGCGTTTGTATGTGTGTTCATTTATACATCATTGCTGGTCAAATAATTCAGCCTCTCGATGGTGAGGCCTTGTTTCATCGCCAATTACTGCGCATCTTGCTTATCCCCTTTTACTCATTTTCTGTGTGTCGGTACATGAAACAAGGCCACACCATTGAGGGCCTGGTTTTTTGACCGTTGAAGATACACTGGATCATTCTCAGGTTCCAGTGGTTTGTTGTTTACACAAACAGCCAGAGCTCTTCCTGATCCTCGTCTTGTAAATCATGAAAGGTGACAAACAGAAAGCTGTACACCTATAGTCTCAATACTTGGAAGGCTGAGGCAGGAAATCAAGAGTTCGAGGACAGCCTGGGCTCCACCTATTTCTCTGAAGAGTTGAGCTTCGTGCTCTGCTGTTTGCTGCCTCACCTTCCCTGCAATCGTACACTGAGATTCTCTGAAACCAGGTGACAGAATAATCCCTCCCTCAAGACACAAGTCAGATATTTTG